AATGCTGCAAGCTGGAAAGGCGAATGCGCGCGGCGCTAAGGCGATAGCCACATTTTGAACCGGCCCGCTCTCCAACCGTGAAGCTGATGCAAAGTGTCCAGATGAATGTACGCGGAGCTGGGGCGAGAGCCACATTCTGAAAACGGCCCGCACTCCGTATGCGAAATTGCTGCGATATGTTAGGGCGAGCGTGTACAGGGCTAAGGCAAGAGCTGCATGTTGAACACCACTCGCCCTCCACCCGTGAAACTCTTTGCAAATGTTCAAGGCCAATGCGCGCGGCGCTAAGGCGAGAGCCACATTTTGAAAACGACCCGCCCTCCACCCGTGAAACTCTTGCAACTTCCAGGCTCCCGGATCATAGATGGTGAAGGATGTTGAAGTGAAACGCTCGCCCGCCTTACCGTCCCGACTCGGGGCGCGACAGGGGGGAGTTGTGTGTAAGGAAAAGGGACGGGGGAGGAGGACCAGCTTAAACCCAATACCCCCCAACGACGCAATAGACTCTCCATTCAGGTTCCATCGTCAGAAGCTCCTACAAGGGTTTATCTTCACTGCGGGAAGAGCCCCGCTGGAAGAAGAGTGTTTGAAAAACTCCAGCTGTGCTAAAGCACCATTCATGGGGCTTCAACGCCGCGAATCAATGTTACTTCTGCGACCTGACGATCCAGAATCGTGCCAGAACACCTTGTCTTGGGACGTCAACACCGCGAATCAATGCGATTTTCGCGCCCTGGCAATCCTGAGTGGTGCCAAAACACCGTTTCTGGAACGTCGACCATAAGAATCCTTGAAACTGCTGTAAACTGTTGACGCGAGTGTGCGCGAAGCTGAGGCAAGAGCCACGTCTTGAAAACGAGCCGCCCTCCACCCGTAAGGTTGTTGCAGACTTTTGAGACGGATGTGCGTGGTGCTGAGGCGAAAGCCACATGTTGAAAACGACGCGCCCTCCATCCCTGAAGCTCTTGCAAACCGTTGAAATGGCTTTACGCGGTGTTAAAAACAGCGAGAGCTACATGTTAAAAACCACCCGCCTTCCATCCGTGAGCTGTTTCTCGAAGTGTCGAGCCAAATGTGCGCGGCGCTAAAAGCGAGATGCCACATTTTGAAAACGGCACGCCCTCCACCCGTGAAATTCTTGCAGATGCTCAAGACGAGTATGCGTTGCAAGGCGAGAGTCAAACTTAGAAAACGACCCATCATCCATTCTTGTGGCTGTTGCAAATTCCCAGCTTCAGAGGCGAAACGCCCAGCCCGCCCCACCGACCCGTCTCGAGGTACGACAGGGAGGAGTTACTTGAAAGGAAGAGGGATAGAGAGGTATGAAAAGGAGAGGAGGAGGAGGAGGAGGAGGAGGAGAAGAAGAAGGAGGTTGAGGAGGAGGAGGAGAAGGAGGAGGAGGAGGAGAGGGGGGAGGAGGAGAGGGGGAAGCAGGAGAGGAGAGGGGAGAAGGCAAGCTAGGTGCGCTCGCGTCATATATGACGTCCTACCCCTCCCTCCCATCCCTTACCATGGCGTAGGTCTCCTCTCTCTTCGCACAATCGGATGTCGTAGCATGGCATAGCATTGCATGGCATAGCATGGTGTCGAAGATCAACGCGCAGCATGACACAGCATGGCGTGGCGACGCCCCAAGGTGGGGGGGGTGCTTCTGCGGCCCAAAAAGTCAACGATTCGACACCGAATGTGTAATCACTTCCGATGGTTTCTTCGGGAGGCCATTTTCTAGATTTTTGGGCCTAGTTGGAAGGAGGAGTGGAGAGGGGGGAGGAGGAGAGGGAGGAGGAGAAGGATGAGGAGGAGGAGGAGAATTCTCTGCAGCCTCTTCTCGGTCACTTGGTGATACCTCGGAAGATGACGTAACCCATTTCTGACTATCGGGTGCTCCTCCTTTGGGCTCGCTCAGCCTGGCTGAGGACTTCGGTCCAAAGTCTAGACCGATTCTCCTCTGATCTTCTCCACGCCCTGTGACGTCTGGGGGGGCAGTGCAGGGCTGAGCAAGCCTCTCAATTTGCTGCGAAGGGTCCGGAACTGTGAGCACAAAACCGAACCCCGAACCCAGCGCGGAGGAGGAGGAGGAGGACGACGAGGAAGAGGGCGAGCAGGACGAGGTGGACAAAACCGCCCGCTTGCTTCGGGAGAGGGAGCATCCTCATTCTCCTCCTGCTCCTCCCGCTCGCCCCCCTCCTCACGCCTTTCCTGCTCCTCCTCGTCGTCTCCCTCCTCCCTGTGCAGCTCAAATAAAGGGTTCACTCACCGTTCGAGTGGACGACGAATGGCGTCCAGCTGGACCTCACGGTGGATTCTCCAGACGTGGTACGCACATTTGCACGCCGATCTTTCACCATCATGAAGTGGGAGGAGTGGGCTCGGCGTCAAGACCACGCTCCAGAGACGACGGCACCTACGCGACAGGCTTGTGGCTACTGGCCCGGCCCCCTCCAGCTTCTCTTGGCCCCGAAGGAGCAAGCACGTCGCTGGAGGCTCTCGGTCAGGGCGCGCGCTGCGTTCAGATCAACCATCATAGGAAGACAGTGGTCGCAAGCTCGACTTCACAAGCATGGATTCACTGAAGATGGAGATTGCTCGTACTGCCTGAACTGTCCAGGTACACTTCATCATCGGCTTTGGTTATGTCCCAACTTGGACGTCGTGAGGACCGAGGCCGTCGATCGGCGCATACTTGATGCGGCTCGCGCAGCACCAAATAATGATATGATTGCACACGCGCTTTGATTCACAGGGACGCGCTGCCCAGCCTGTCACCAGTCTGCATGAAAGAGAAGTGGTATTATGATTATGGTGGGCGAGATGATCTAAAAACAAACGACATCATCACCGATGGAGCTGGCCGTACTTGTGTGGGCTGGCCTGAAGCATCGAGGCCAGGATGGGGCATCGTGATGATGAGAGGACGCCAGCTGCAAGGCATGGCGTATGGACCCCTACCTGGTGCTCAGCAGTCGGTGCCAACAGCTGAGATGATGGCGGCGGTCCTGACTCTCAGGAACGGCATCCTCCTGCTGCACAGTCAGACAGACTGTAAGATGACAATCGAGAGTATCAACAATGGAAAGGAGTAGTGCCTGCACGTCCGGCGCTCAAATGTGGATCTCTAGCGGACTCCTTGGCATGCGTTGGAGAATCAGGGTGGCTGATCGGATCAGCGGACCATCCAGAACGTGAAGAGCCACCAGATGGAGATCGCTGCCCAGAATCGTGAGGAGAAAACTGGTAACGATTGCGCGGGCATCGCAGCCAAGAGGGGCCTGGCCAAGCACGACTGCCGATCCTGGCTCGCGAGCTCGCGAGCTGCCCGCGGAGTTGCCCGATGGCGTCCGTCGGATTGCGGCGTGGCCTGGAAGTTCACAGGAGCTGGTGGAGGCTGCTGCTCCTGAGCCGGTGCCGCCGCCCGCGAGGCCGCCGCGGTGTGACCGACGAGTTCGACAAGCACGCTCGCGGCGGCGGCCGCCACGGCTGGCGCCAGATGGGCGCCTGCATTCGGGAGCCTTGAGACGGGGGTCAATGCAAACGGGGGTCAGCCAGAGCGCCAGATCTTGCAGGATCCTGCAGAGCCAGGCTCCCATTGACCCGGGTTCGGGCACAGGATCCTGCAGGATTTTGCAGGATCCTTCGCATTGACCCAGGTTTGGGTGCAGGGTCTTGCAGGATCTTGCAGGATTTTGCAAGGCCTGGCTGACCCGGGTCTGGATTGACCTGGGTCAGAAGATCCCCGATGCATGGTATCATCCGCGGTGACAGTTGTTGCAAATGTATTCACCGCACGCGCGTCGCGCCAACGGCCCCTGGACGTAGGAAGCCAGCCCTCCAGATATGCCCCGTGGATGCAGCTCCGCCCTCCCCCCCCCCCCGAGGTGCCGCCAAGCCTTGAGGGGCCCGAGGTTTCGACAAGGGCCGGGGACGAGGATGCGCAGGATAGCCGTGCTGTGCGTTCCAGGCGGAGCCTCACCTCGGTGGAGCCCCCTCCTCTTGACCCCTCCTCGGACCCCCTGCCCTCGCGCCTCCGTGCCGGGGTTGCTCCTCCTCCGCCTGACCCCAAGCCCGTCAAGCCCGTGGTCAAGCAGTGGCGAAGCGTCCTGGCTCGCCTATAGCCCTACCAAACAATGTTCTAAGAACCTTTTTGTGGTTTCCACGTAATGTTCTAAGAACAGTTCTGGTTGGGGCTGTTTTGTTTCAACACATCGAGTTCTATGTTCTAAGAAGCTTGTTTTTGTTATTAGAACACTTTGGGGTTCTAAGAAAATTTCGTGGTAGGACTATAGGAATGCCGGGACGGTCGGTCCCTGCTCAATGTGGAGGAGGTGGCGGAGCCTTTTCATTAGGCATGCAGCTAGTCACGGCAGGTAGCTAGTCACCCACAGGCCGCTCTCACCGAGACCATCGGCAGCGCTGAGCTCGGCTTGAAGAAGCGCCCCCGACCTCGGCCCTGGGAAGGCCAGCGCGTCCCTCCCCAGTCAGGTGCTCCGCTTCGGAGGGTCCCATCATGCCGGAAGCTGCTGGAGGCCACATCTTGTATAGGGCAGGCAAGATATTTGGTTGCCCGAACTATGGCCCTTGCTCGGAGCATGCTGTCTGATCATAGCTCTTCGCTCATTGCGACCCGCTCGCTTTGCAAGATAACCCTCTGCGAAAATGGCGCAGAGACAGTTTCGCTTCGGGCCGCCATCCTAAGGAGGGCCGCAAGCACCCAATCTCGACCCTCTGGCGGCTCCAGGTCACGGATCCCGCGGCTCAGTGGTTAGGATTGTTTACACATTCATGTTGACGTTGTTTGTGACAAGTCGTTTGGTGTTTCATACCCTTGCCTGGAGTGGTATGATAATCCGTCGCCCCCTCCAGGCTTCTATTGTCTCCTGGCCTGGACGTCCTGGTCGGTGATGGAGGCGCGCCTCGTTGCCGTGATGCTATGGATGGGCAGTCGCGCGACACCTCTCACCATTGATGTGTCCCTGTCTCGCCTCGGCGCGTCGCCACATGTGGTCGCTGCTCCTCCTCCTCCTCCTCGTCCTCCTCTTCCTCCTCCTCCTCCTCCCCCTCCTCCTCCTCCTCCTCCTCCCGTCCCGCTTCCCAGGGCCAACCGCCAGGTTCGGGAGAGGGAGCCTCTCGAGAAGAGCGCTCGACTGGTTCGACTGGATGCTGCCGGAGGCTTGGAGCGTGTACCACAACCAGGTCCACCATTACAGGCCGAGGGGGAGGAGGGCAAGGGGGAGACGACGACGACGACGACGACGACGACGACGACGACGGCGGCGGCGGCGGCGACGACGATGACGATGATGACGATGATGACGATGGCAATGGCGATGACGATGACGATGACGATGGCGATGACGGACGACGATCAAGGGAGCGCAAGCATGGAATAGGGCACGTGAACGAGCGATCCCGCTTCCGTGCAGAACCGGCGCGATCCGTCGCCAGGTCGGGCGGCATCGGCCGCAGATGTTCGGGGGGTATGTTCCCCAGTGCGTGGATCTGGCACCCGCGCGCCAGATCCACGGATCGGGGAAGGGGGAGGAGGAGGAGGAGGAGGAGGAGGAGGAGGAGGAGGAGAAGGAGGAGGAGGAGGGTTAGCAGGGAGGAGGAGGAAGGAGGAGGAGGAGGAGGAGGAGGAGGAGGAGGGAAGGGGAGCACGGATCTGAACGGACACAGCCACGTCGATGAACGTGATTGTCCGTCTTGCCTTGAGATTTCAGCAAGGTCACGGTGGGGGATAAGGACGGCGTTGAGCTAGGAGACCACAGGGTTGAATTTGGTGGCATCAAGAAGACCAACAAACTGAATGAATGGCAATAATTATTTCGGAAGCCTCCAGAGGTGTTCGGGAGCCTCCTAATGTCTCTAGTTTGTGAGGACATAGCTAAGAAGAAGAAGAAGAATACATGATAATAAGAAAAGAAACATAATCAGATATCCGATATGGGAGCAGCGGGTAGCACGTCGGAGGAGGAGGGAGGAGGAGGAGAGGAGGCGACGGCGACGACGACGACGACGAGGACGAGCCACAGCAGTGCAGAGCAGCGATGGAGGGGGGAGCAGCGATGGAGGGCAAGGGCAGCGGGAGATGGGCAGGGGGGGTGGGCGAGGACGAGTCCGGGGGGGGGGGCAGGGATGAGTCAGGTGGGGAGGACAAGAGTAAGGCGGATGAGGACGTGGAGAGGAGGAGGAGGAGGAGGAGGAGGAGGGAGGAGGATGGGCGGGCGAGAGGGGGAGGAGGAGGAGGAGGAGGAGGGGGGGAGGAGGAGGAGGAGGAGGAGGAGGAGGAGGACGTGGAGAGAAGGAGGAGGAGGAGGAGGAGGAGGGGCGGGCGTAGAGGGGGGCGGGCAGGGGCGAGTCTGGGGCCGTCGCCCGAGAGGGTCAACGAGCGCGCGGACCCGGACCTCTTCGAGGAGCCCCGCCCCCCGCGCCCCTCTTGTCGGGCAGGCCTGCAGCACTCGTCTAATGAAAGTCGGGGGTGGACAGAGCCCCCGACAGTGACACGTCGATTAAATTAGTGAATTGGTTGTCCGTTTTCGGTTCTCGAGAGGGCGCCGTGGCCGCTCTTTCCCAGGCCTGCGCCCGCCAGGTTTGGGCCTCTTATCGGGTCGGGGGTGGGCAGACCTCCTACCCTGACACGTCGATTAAGGAATCGGCCGTTTTCGGTTCGCGAGGGGGCGTCGCGGCCGTCGTTTTCGCAGGTCCAGGTCCGTCGGTTTCGGTCCCAGGCCGTTTTCACTAAGGGGAGGTCTACTAAAGGGAGGTTTGTCCACCGCCGATTATCGGGCAGACCTGCAGCACTCGTCGAATAAAAGAAATGGACGGTTTCTGTTATCGGCGCTTGCGCGGTCGGCGCTACTTCAACTCTAGGGTTCCTAAATGGGCCATGGGGTCGGAGTAGATGGGGTCAGAGGATCGCGCCGCATCGCCGATGCATGGCCGATGCAGCACGATGCGGGGCTCGATTTGTTTTTCGTCGACGTCGTCGATACGCCGCCGACGTCGCCGATACATGGGCGATGCATCGCCGATGCATCGGAGATGCATTGTTGGCGATGCGTCGTGATCTTCTGACCCCATCTAGGAGGCCTCGTATCAATGCTGGCATGAAATGTTTGGCCCGCGCGCAGGGGTGTCCGAAATCCGTCAGCGCCCTCACATAATTGAAGAGCACGTTTTCTGACGAGTGCCCGAACTGTTGGGCGCTTCGATTTTGAACGGCGTCTCCATCTACGTTTGACGAGGCTTGTAGGATCGGAGTGAATCGTCCCAGAGCGTTCTGGAACGCTCTGGGAAGGCCGTGGCGCCCAATGCATCCTCCAGAGCCGCACTACTTCCGTGCACGTGCCAACGCTCCACCAGCGTATCATCTAGTACGCATGGGCTTTCATAGTATACGCACACGTCTACAGTCAACGCGCCTAGTAAGGACGCGTGCCTTCATCTAGGGTGCCCTTGAGTCCTTGCATCTGCGGCCCGTCCTTCGCCGTTTTCACTGGCCGCCCCCCGCCCCAAAAATCCAACTTCGGCCTCCAAGGGTCTTGCGTCCTTGCCACCCGTCCTTAATAAACGTTTTGACTGTATGTAATTAGTGCAGGCCACACGCATGTTGGAGGCACTCGTGGACAAGCGTGTCATTCGGGCGGCGAGGACTACGTGAGTACGTGGAAGTTGCCCAAGGAGTTCATGACGATCTTGTCGATGCTGGTGTTCAAGTGGGCCTTCGCGGCGCCCAACTCGTACAAGGACCTGAAGTTGACCGAGATGCGCAAGTCCGGTCGGCTGCCTCCCAGAGGATTTCGGACGGGGCCAGGACGAGGATAAACCCGTTCCAGGACGTCCCGGAACGCTCTGGGAAGGCCGCTGCGCCCGAGACGTCCTCCAGAGCCGCCAGGTCTCGGACGCTCTCGATTTCGTCCCCACCCGGTGTGATCCTCCTCCTGGTTTCGTCGGAGGATTCGACCCTGGGATGACGATGACCATATACCAGGTCTACAGGCTAGAGCGCGACGGGCAGGGCATATCCGAGACACCTCGCGGCAGCCCCGCCCTCCCTGCCGCGGAGGGGCCGGCAGAGGCCCCCGGGCCTCTTCCGTTCCGATCCGGTCGATCCGACTCGATCTCGGCTCCAGCCAGCCCGCTTCGATTCGATGCCGACTTCCGGGAGCCAGGGCGCGGCGAACGAGGGCGAGGGCAGGCTTGCGACGGCTCGAAGGCGGGAGGTCTTCGGGCGTCTCCGTCGGGCCTCGGAGGCATAGCCCAGCTCGGGAGGGATGCCGGCAGCTGCGCCTCGCCGAGAGCGTGCCGGGGCTGCCCGGATCGTCCCGGACGGCCGCGCGATGGCCCGAAGACCGATGAGGCCCAGGGAGAGGGCCCCGCGTCTGCACGGCGTTGTTGTGCATCCTGGCGCCGCCGATTCGATTCGATGCACGCTCCGGTCCGCGCCGGCTTCCCAATGCGAGGCTGCTTGTCCTTGGGCGCGGGGCCGAGGAGATGGCCAGCCTAGGGGGCCACATGCGAGCCCTGCCCCTCCCCCCCACGAGTTCTGAGGGGGAGGGTGGGGGGTTCACTTCGCTTGGGAGCTCCCAAACGAAGTGAGCCTCACCCTCCCCCTCAGAAATCGTGGTTGCGAGTGCGGGGGGGGGTTTGGCTTCGGGGGGTCTTTGTTGTGGGGGGAGGGGGGTTTTACTAGGGAGCGTGGGGGGTGGGTTTTTAGGGCTCGCATGTTGGCATCCTGCAACTGCCTGCTGCTGCCTTATCGCAAATCGTGTCGCAGTCATCTGGAACGACAGTGCGGCTTCCCATCTTCTCGGGAGAGCCGGGCCCAGCACCGTCGAACCAGAGCGGCGGCGTCGCCCCACGGTGAGGCTTAAACTCCGGCTCAGGCTCTGGGCCAGCCAGTCCTCCTCCCTCCTCCTTCCTCATCCTCCTCCTCCTCCTCTCCTCTCCTTCTCCCCTCCCTCCCTCCCTCCCCTCACCCCTCCTCCTCCCTCCCTCCTCCCCTCCCTCCCTCCCTCTCCTCTCCCTCGCCTCCTCGTCCTCCTCCTCCTCCTCTTCCTCCTCCTCCTCCTCGTCATCCTCCCTACCTTCTTCCTCCTATAGATCTCCTCCTCCTCCTCCTCCTCCCTTGTGTCGCTCTTCCTCCTCCTCCCTTGTGTTGCTCCGCGGAGGAGGGTATTTGCACAAAGATGATGAACTTTCGGAGGTCCGCGCGGAGGTCTCGCCCTGGTGCTGGGGGCCCCTGGCGCGGCAGGGAGGGGGGCGCAGCGCAGATCCAAGAGATTCGCGCGGACTCCCGCGAGGAATGCCGTTTCTGCAGCTTGCTTCAAAGCGTGAATTACTTACCCCGCTTTCGCTTCCAGGCAAAACCAAGCCATACCACGCGCCTCCTCGTCAAGCGGCCTGACCAGTACAGGCTGCAATTTGGCATCGTTTGGTACCTCCTGGAAGCGAGGGTGGTCAAAAGCGAGGCAGGTTTGTTTTCCCCCTATTGCTGTTCCTCTAGGAATTGAGTTGGTCCAACCGCGGCCCAGGAGGTCCCGGCCCCTTCCCCCCCTGGGGGGGTGGTCTTGTGCGCCCCGGATCCATGCCTGGTGGCCCCTGGGGCACAGCGACGGGCCTTGGGAGGCAGAGCTCGAAGGACAACGGCGGGAAGCATACAATCAAGGGCAGAAAAAACGCCCCTACCCTGGTTCACGAGGCGCTGTGCTCTGAAACTCCTGTGGGCTGACAGGGTAAACCCTGCGTGATGTGCCGCGTCCTGGCGGCTCTAGGCTTTGGGGGGTCCCAGGAGGTTTACAAACCACGCACTTGTAACCCAGGGTAGGGTCGTTTTTCATCCTCAAATACAAAAAAAAAGCATGCACGACACCAGAAAACGGCTTCGACTGCGCCGACATCGGCGCGCAAGCTGCTCGCGCAAGGTCGCGCGCAAGCGCCCTCCTTCTCCAGAGCAGCGGTGCCGCGCGGGCGGCCCGCGGAATCCACCGCGCAAGGTCGCCACGTCGTCTCGCGCATGACCCGTCTCTGATCGTCGCTCGCATCCTCGGACAGTATGCGCTCGTGGGGACATGGCGGGGGGCGTCCTGGGCGGAGCGCCCGAGGGGGCTCGGCGGGGGCGCCCCGCGTGGGTTCGGCCGCGGCGCCCGTGTGCTCACGAGGGGGTCGCGCGCGCAGCCGCCGCCCTGCCCCCGCTTGGCCACCACTTGAGCGATTGAAGGAACGGGTCTTACAGTCGAGACGTTCAAACAAGGAAGGGTTTGGGTTCAGAAGGGGCTCGGCGATCCTTCGGTCCTTCCATGGCTGTTGCTCTATTCCCTCCTCGTGCACGCAGGCGCTTTGGGGGTCAAAAAGGGGCTTCGTTCCTTGTTGATCGTCTCTTGTGCCAGCAGCCCGACTGCACGCGAGACGGCATGGCGACCTTCCGCGGTGGCTTGCGCGCACCGCCGGCGCGGCACGCCTCCTTGGGAAACGAGGGCGCTGGCGCGCGACCCCGTGCGGGCAGCTTGCGAGCCGCTGTCGGTGAAGACGGCCCCACGTTCTTCCATCGTTCGCTGCGGGGGATCACGGGGCTCCTCCTCCTCCTCCTCCTCCTCCTCCTCCTCCTCCTCGAGAACGGGATCGTCTTCACGTATAAGTTGCCCGCGTAAGGTCGCGCGTCAGCACCCTCGTTTCCACTGTGGCCTGCCGCGCCAGCGGCCCGCGTAAGCCGCCGAGTGAGGTCGCCGTGCCATCTCGCGTACGGCCCGTAGCGTTTCGTCGCTCACCTGGCCGCGGAGATCGTCGAGCGCATGCCTTCTTGATCGTCAAGCGCATGCCTTCGACAGCAGGTATTTATGGATCCTCTTCCCTCCTCTTGGCTCGTTTCGATTCCTCCGATCCGATTCGATTCGGCTTCCAATTCCGATTCGATTCGATTTCGGATTCCGACTTTGGCTCCGATTCCTGAATGGAGGCATGCTAGCCTTCCGATTTCCGTCGATTCGACTTCTCCCGACTCGGCTGCCGATCTCCGCCGATCCGATTCGTGTCGATCGCCGATCCGCCTTGTCGATTCGATTCCGGCCCCTCCTGCTTCGAGGGGCGGGAACCCAGTCCGCTCCCAACGCCTCCCTGCTTCACAGTTCTGCTTATCTGCCTACTCTTTCCGACCGACGGTCATTCCAAAGGGTCCGCTCCCAACGCCTTCCTGCTTCACGGTTCTGCCTACTCCCTCCGACCGACGGGTATTCCTCCTCCTCCTCCTCCTCCTCCTCCTCCTCCTCCTCCTCCTCCTTCCTCCTCTCCTCTCCTCCTCCTCCTCCTCCCTCTCCTCTCCTCCTCCTCCTCCTCCTCTCCTCCTCCTCCTGCTCCTCCTCCTCTCCTCCTCCTCCTCCTCCTCCTCCTCCTCCCCCTCCCCCTCCTCCTCCTCCTCCTCTCCTCCTCCTCCTCCTCTTCCTCCTCCTCCCTCTCCTCCGCCCTCTCCTCCTCCTCCTCCTCCTCCTCCTCCTCCTCCCTCCCCTCATCCTCCTCCTCCTCCGTGCGCCCCTCCCGCTCCCCGCTTCTCCTCCCCTCCGGGGAGGACCCGGGGGGACGTCGGCGGCCCCCACGGGCCTTTCTTTGTTCGTTTTGGGGGGGGGCCTCATGGAGGCTTCTCGTCGCCACGGCTGCACCCGCCCCGATAACCGCGGTGGCGAGCGAGTGGGGCAGTGAGAAGGAGAAGGCCTTCTCGGAAGGCTCGGCAGTCCCCTGGCCGTCTCAGAAGTTTCCTGGGCCTTCTCCCCCCAGAGACACCGAAAGCTCCTCGGGAGGCGCGAGGGCGTCCGAGAAGTCCCGCCGCCTCTGAGAAGGCCCTCTCCTCCTCGCTTTCCCCCCCTTCCCCTCGCTCGCCGCCACGGGATGCGTGGAGGGCGAGCACGCGGCAGCGAGCACGCACCCAGCGAAGCCGCGCGTCGCACCATCGCCCCCCCCCCTCCTCCTCCTCCTCCTCCTTCCTCCTCCTCCTCCTCCTCCTCCTCCTCCTCCTCCTCCTCCTCCTCCTCCTCCTCCTCCTCCTCCTCCTCCGCCTCCTCCTCCCCCCTCCTGCCCCTCCTCCTCCTCCTCCTCCTCCTCCTCCTCCACCCTTCGCTCGCCGCCAGAGACACGGGCCGGCATCGGCCCCCAGGGAGGCGGCGGCCGGGGGCCGACGCCGCACGGATGTTGCGGGGCGGCGGGAGAGCCGCCGTGGTCTCTCCACGGGCCTTCGTCCTGCAGACCTTTTCCCGCGCGCCCCGCCGCCGGGCCCGCCTCGAGCGGAGCCCCAGCCCCGAGAGGGGCGAGCAAGGATCGATGGCAAGCTCAGGGATGTGCGCTCAGAGACGGAGGGGGATCCTTCAGAGACGTGGCTCAGGGGGATGTGCCCTCAGAGACGATGTGCTCTCAGGGATGTGTCCTTAGAGACGATGTGCCCTCAGGGGGATGTGCGCTCAGAGACGGAGGGGGATCCTTCCAATCGGCATCGAGGTGAGGTGATGCCAAGCGCGGGCAGAGGGAATGCTGCTGCGAACTGGTATAAGCCACCTCCTCTCGCCGGGGAGGGCGGGAGGGTGGGCGCTGGGCCCCGAGAGACCGCCCGCCCAGACAAGTCGACCGCGGAAACCTGCACGGGTTCGCTCGACGCCGGCACGCGATCGGAGAAGCGTAAGACTCGAGTGCGCCGGAACTCGGGCTGGCCGACGCTTCTTCACGAGCCCGTCGTGGATTTTGACGATCCAGGTTTTGTGTCATGCTTGCAGCGGGAGCTCGCGTCAAGTTTCTGACTGGGTCTCGTCGTTTTCTTGATGGCCCCGTCGGGCCAGCCCGAGCCCCCCGAACCCGAGTCTTACGTCTCCATGATACGAGTGCACCAGTGCAGTCCCTGGTCGGTTTCGCTGCAAGACGTGCGTCTTGCCGGCTGCATTCGATTGTTCTTGGACTTCGATCGGTGATCTTGCCCAGGTACACCTAGAATGCGGGGCCGCGCGCACCCGTGGGGTACCACCGCAGCTTCCGCTAAAGGGCATTTTGCTAAAGGAGGTTCTGCCAGGCCTCGAGTGGCGCCGCGTCGCCGGTGTATCGGCGATGCGGCTCGATGCGGAGCCCGATTTTCTCCGCGCCGACGTCGCCGATGCATCGTCGACTTCCCGAACGCACCGCCGATGCATTGGTGATGCATTGGTGATGCATTGGTGATGCATCGGCGACGCGGCGCGATCAACCGACCCCATCTATTCTGGCTCCACCTGGGAGGTCTCTTGGGAAGCGGGGTTGCCTGTGGCCCGCTGCCTCAGGACTCATGCTTTCTTCTGTTTCGCTTGGTTTGTTCCGTGGGGCAGCTGTTTAGGACGCCACCGCCAAATCAAACAGTGCGAAAAGTAGGCTTTCGCTGGCGGGCGATTACTATTCCATGCCTTCCCACATCTCTATGGCGCACCAAAAGCGCCGTCGCCAAAATAAAGATCACCAAGTTTCAATATTTCGCACCCATGGCATTTGGAGGCGATGCCGTCG